AAAAGAAGATAAAATAATAATATAAAAATATATAAAAATAATATAATATTATAGAATTTAATTATTCTATAACAATATACATAGTTTAATCAATTAAATTTTAATATTATATTGATATATGATATGTTAGGCTTAAAATGATATCAGAAATATTAGTCATTAATTTATTTATTATAGTAATAGTATTTTTGTAGTTTTGTAATCATATCATATGACATTTGTATAGGAAAAATGTGATTTTTTTTTGTTCTCCTTTTATAAAACAAGTAATTTTTTATTGTATAATAAATAAAAATAATTTTTAAATTATTATATTTATTATTAAAAAAATATTTTCAAATTATGTTTATATATATAAATATATATATAATTTTGATGAATTTGTTTTATCAATATTTGTTAACTTATAAAATTTAAGAATAAATAAAAGAAAAGTTTGAAAACAGTCTTAATTGATCTTAAACAATAGGTTTTCAAAAATATTGTATTATTTCAAATTTTTATAATTTTTAAATAATTTTTAATAAAATTATAAATAATAAAATTAATTTTAAAAAATTATAAATCATACTATATATTATAATATTTTTTAAAAAAAAGAATTTGAATTTAAATAAAAAATTTTTATTTGTTTAACTTACTTTGTTTAGTAAATTTTTTTTAAATTATATAAATTTGTTAAATTTAGATATAATTTATAATTTATATTTTATAACTTATTTAAAATTCTGTTTAAAAATATTAGAATATTAAATATTGCATTATAATTATATTACCAGTCTTAATTTTTAATAATATATTGATAATTAAAATAAATTAAAAGTATTTAAAAATATAATATTTAAAAATCTTATTTATATATTTATCAAGTTTTTTTTTTAATTAATTAATTAAAGCAATATTTTTATATAGGATATAATTATTTAATTATATTTTATATTATATAATGGTTATAAATTTTTTTACAATATATAAAAAGTTTAAGACTGAGGTATTATAATTTGCTTCGAATATCTTTTTAGAATGTTATAAAATAAATCCAAAACCAATTAATATTTATATTTACGTAAATAATTGCTTCAAATATTTTTAATATTTTTATTATAGGAGTTAAAAATTTTATTAAGATTTGATCTCACTTACAGTATATACATGCTAGTCTCAGAACAAAATTATATTAACTATTCGAACTATCTTTATTATTTTAACTATCTCAATTATCTCAATTATCACAACTATATCAAGTACAATATAATTAAAAAAAGTAACTATTGAAATTATAACACAACTCGGATTTTAGATTTGCATACGTTCATGTGATGGTGCCAATCCCTTCTTAAACTCATTTTTTTACTTACCTAATACATATAAAATCAATTTGTTTATATACTGTATGATTCAATATTATTTATTATTTATTATTTATTTATTATTATTTATTTCTTTACAAAAAGAAGACCCATGTGCCAAAGTTTTATATCAAGGCTTGCGACATGAATCTTGTATTAGAAACCTTGGAAAGAAAATTCAAATTTAGAGAATACGGTGGATACATTCAATGAAATGAAATTAAAGAACATAAAACAAAACAAAATAAGATAATACCGTAATTATTTTTTGGTTTTGAAATCGCATGATAATGTAATAAAGAAGTTACTTGAGTAATTATTCTCCATTACCGGAAGAATTCCTGATTCACCGATTCATCAAAGAATATGTCGTACCATATTCAGGTACCGGAACTGTGCAAGATCTTGTGGTACTAAATACGTATTGAATTGTCTTTGCTGACAAAGTGTTATAGAAATCTTTTTTTTTTAAAAAAAAAAGAAAATCTTATCACAAGTCATTTTTTCTTATTTCAGACAAAAGCAAAATTGAATTCATTGCAATTAGCTGTAAATAGATTAAAGATGTTATTTTTTTTTATCGAATGGACTTTAGAATTCAAAAATATGAGTTTATTCAGTAGATAAAAAAATTTTTTTTTACAATTAATTTTAAAACAGTAAATCTGGAAATAAACATTGCAAGTCTTAATTAAAGATTTTATCTCGAGGCGATCAGAATTTAATGAGTTTCATGTAAGCTGCTGCACATACTGTATTATACCTATTTAATGTTGTATATAAAAAAATCAACTGACATCGCATCGATAATAATCGTCAAAACGATATTTATGAAATCTTTCACAAGTTTGTGAGTATATTTATTATCCATTATATTGAATCAGTTCTGATGTTTTGTTTAAATGCATTATCACAATTGTTACCTCATGTAATTTGTTCTTAGAATGGAAAGAAGAAGTGCAATGAAAAAAATACGGATAGAATCGTAACTTTTCTTTGTGATTTTTTTTTTTAAACAAAATTAACCGGTCACAATATGCCAAATATATACGTTTATTACCAATTTTAGAGGTTCACGGAAGGAAAAGTAACTCAAAATCATCATACGTTTCACTTCGAATGAATGCAAGCCTAAAGCGTAAAAAAAATCTGTTACAGGAATAAGGAATATTCTTTTCTTATTCGTGATACCAAATAATGGAGGGCGGAAAGTACGAGCTTTGCATCATGTGGAAATATAAAAATCTCATATCACGAACCTAAACATCCTCTGTATTTAATACCAAAGTCCACGAACAAAATCCCAACACGCAAATATGCCTAAAATAAAAAATTTTCTGAACAACTTTTTTCATCAATTATCTTCGCGCAAGAACTCGGATTCAACTTCATTCGCGATTGTTGAAAGCAACAAAAATAATGAACAACGAGAAATTGGTGATAAAAGTAAAAAAAATAATGAACATCAAGAAATTGATGTTGAAAGCAATGAAAATAATAAACATCAAGAAGCTAATGTAGAAACCAACAAAAATAATAACCATCAAGAAATTGAAGTCGAAAGCAATAAAAATAATGAACACCCAGAAATTAAAGTCGAAGGCAATAAAAATAATGAACACCCAGAAATTGAAGTCGAAATCAATAAAAATAATGAACACCCAGAAATTAAAGTCGAAAGTAATAAAAATAATGAACACCCAGAAATTGAAGTCGAAGACAATAAAAATAACGAACAACAAGAAATTGAAGTCGAAATCAATAAAAATAATGAACACCAAGAAATTGAAGTCGAAGGCAATAAAAATAATGAACACCCAGAAATTGAAGTTGAAAGTAATAAAAATAATAAACACCAAGAAATTGAAGTTGAAAGTAATAAAAATAATGAACACCAAGAAATTGAAGTCGAAAGTAATAAAAATAATGAACACCCAGAAATTGAAGTCGAAGGTAATAAAAATAATGAACACCCAAAAATTGAAGTCGAACACCAAGAAATTGTAGTCGAAATCAATAAAAATAATGAACACCAAGAAATTGTAGTCGAACACCAAGAAATTGTAATCGAACACCAAGAAATTGTAATCGAAGGCAATAAAAATAATGAACACCCAGAAATTGAAGCCGAAAGCAATAAAAATAATGAACATCAAGAAATCGATGGAGGCGAAGAGGTTCGTAATTCTAAGGAACCAATTACGCACGACTGTGGACGCAACAAAGTTGAAGAATGGTGCGAAAAATGTGACCGAGAGCTCTTCCAATCAAATTTCTCGAAGTGGACAAGTGGCAATGAGCACATTGACGCATTTATTCGGGAGACCCAACTTTCAGCGACTACAAAATTCAACTTTTTAGAATGGATTCCTTTCGATCAATTAACCGATATCGAACGTATTGGTAGTGGTGGATTTGGCGAGGTATTCTCGGCAAGGTGGATTGCAGGCCCAAGGTCAAAGTGGAATGCGGAAAAATCAACGTGGGAGCGATATCCGAACGTTAAAGTGGCTCTCAAGAGTCTAATCAAGTTGAAAGAAGAGGATGTCACTGGTGATTTATTTAAGGAGGTACGTACTACTTTTCGATCAATTAACCAATTTATATTATTAACTATCGAATAAACTATTCTCACCAAAATATAAACAGCTTCTACATCATATGAAGGCAAATACCCAAGTGTCAGGGCGCATCACCACTTTGCGAACCTATGGTATGAGCTATGATCCTGAACAAAAAGCATACATGATTGTGATGTTATTAGCAGACGAAGGCGATCTTGGGGCCTACCTTAAATCCAATTTTTCATCTCTCACATACATAAAACGACTCGAGATTCTCTACGACATTGCCTCCGGTCTTGTTCAAATGCATAAGTCTGGTCTTGTTCACCGTGACCTACACAGCGGAAACGTGTTGTGTACGAGGTACAAGAACGAAGAAGAAAATCGCGACGATTATAGATGCGTAATAGGTGATTTGGGACAGGCAACGCCACCATCAAAACATGAAGACACAATTTTTGGCGTTATGCCTTATGTGGCACCCGAGGTTTTGCGTGGACAACCTTACACCCAAGCTGCTGATATATACAGTTTTGGAATGTTGATGTGGGAAATAGTCTCTGGTGCGAAATCATTTGGTGATGTGGAGCATGGCACCAGTTTGGCATTGGAAATTTGCTCAGGTCGGCGACCCGAAATAATTCCAAATACACCAAAATCATACGCGGATTTGATGAAAAGGTGCTGGGATGGAGATAGAGAGAAGAGACCCAGTGCATGGGAACTCCATTCTACCATAGGAATTTGGTTGAATCAATGCTTATTTTCTCCTAATTCCGATATAGCTGAGGAGTTTGCGCGAGGTGAAGAACACAGATTGAAAGAACCACTATTGCAAGTATTGAGCCCTAGTTACAGTCAACACAGTGTGTTTCTTCACGTGAACGCTCCACCAAGCTCGGAAATTCCAGTTGAAGATTATTCCAACCTCTCATTACCAGAAATTGAAATCGACATGTCTGATGACTGAAGATGTTCGAATATCTTTAACACCGATAAACAAGATAACGAAAAAAAAATATATTCTTTTTTCTATGAATTAGTGCTATTAAATAATGATCATGGTTTAACATTGTACAGTATTCATTTATGTGTACTTATTTATTAACTGACAATATACGTACGATATATATAATAAACACACACAATTTCGAAAGTATTCTCGCTTATGCATTGCAATTTATTAAAAGAAAATTTCATGAATTTTAAATAAGTAGAAAGAAACCATCGCTCATACTGTATATCTACAACGTATACAGTATACAGTATTGGTTATTAAATATTTTGATACAGTAAACTTTTCTTTAACCAAGAACGTGTCAAAAATACGATCTATTTTTTTTTTTTTTTTTTTTACTGAATAATCGCGAATATTCCTCGAGGTTTTGCTCTACGGAATCGTAATTAACCTGACACATGCATGACACCGTATATCAACAAAATTTCCGCGCAAAGTTTATTTATTAATCTATTCGTTCTGTTCGTAAGCCATCTTTCAAATAACAATACCATATGTGCGTATACAGAGTACAGTATGTATGTATCCAAGGCTTTGCGATGGCTGTGTCGTCATTATCGTTGGCTGTGTTCGAAGATAATTGCTGCGTGCAAAATATTATGATAAATGAATGTCCTGTAAATGAACAAAATTTCTTTGACAGTTTTCTTTGAATATGGATAAAAATGAAAAAGAAGCGTTAACGGTCAAAGATGAGTCTAGTGTTGACGAAGTTTACCCGACACCACAAGATTGGAATGCGCTTCGCAAGGTTTCGGATCAGATCCCTGTCGGTAGGATCGTACTTTTTGCCTCACATAATTGTTCGGCAATCGTGGAAATAATCGATCCGTTTTTTTTTTTGTTTTTTTTTCTTAGTTGTGTGGTTCATAATAACTTGTGAATTGTGTGAGAGATTTACCTTTTACGGTGTCTCCGGACCATTCCAGAATTACATACAATTCCCGGTACCAACAGAAGTGGATGGACAGCCTGGTGCAATTGGAGCGGGACAACAAGTGGCGACATCGTTATCGCTGTTTTTCCAATTCTTTTGTTATACGACGCCGATCATGGGAGCAATTGTGGCCGATAAATATCTAGGGAGATATAAGACCATATTAATATTTTCTTTGGTCTACGTGGTTGGATTGGCGGTATTGACACTGACGGCAATTCCTCCAGCCATATCAGCCAAACTTTCTTTGCCAGGATTGTTGGTGGCCATGATAATAATTGGGCTAGGAACCGGAGGGATCAAGCCAAACGTATCACCGATGTCGGCTGATCAATACACCAAAACTCGGGCATTCATTAGGACATTGAGTTCTGGCGAAAGGGTAATTGTCGATCCAGATATTACCATACAGTCAATCATTCATTACTATTACTTGGCTATCAACATTGGATCCCTTTCGGTCATTATTACCACATACGTTGAGAAATATCATTCATTCTGGTTGGCATATCTCATACCTCTCATAGTATTTCTCTTTGCCATCGCCATATTAGTCATTGGTCGGAATAAATATGTCAAGAAGGAACCCCAAGGTTCAGTGATATTTGACTTTATTCATGTGCTTTGGATAGCTCTTGTGAATCAAAAAAATCTGGAGAACGCAAAACCTTCGAATATGACGGAAGAACAATTGAAAAGGAGAAAAGTTACATGGGGCGATGAATTCGTGGAACAGTCCAGAATAGGGCTACGAGCCATAAAAGTTTTCACATTTTTTCCATTTTACTGGGTCTGCTATTCACAGATCTACAATAATTTAATATCACAGGCTGCCACCATGGATGTTGGATCCATACCCAACGACGTAATGTATAACTTCGACACCGTGACTTTGATTATATTGACGCCACTGGCCAATAATGTCCTGTGAGTACTCGATTTCATTAAAGTTTGAGCGATGTTCGTTATTATTTGACAATGGTTCAAATGAGTGTGTTAACAGGTATCCAACTTTACGGAGATGTGATGTGAGATTTGGGTACATGGCCAGATTCTTTCTAGGGTTCATGTTTATTTCCGCTGCCATGTTTTACTCGGCGTATGTTCAACATGTTATTTATGATGCATCGCCAAATCTAGTTTCCGTGTGGGTGCAAACTCCATCCTATATTTTGGTCGGAACTTCCGAGGGTGATTTTTTTTTTTTTTTTTTTAAAAAAAAATTTTCGTACAATTCAACCACCACGAAAAACCGATGCCATGGTTAATTTTTTAATTATTCAGTGCTACTAAGCATTACAGCTCTGACCTATGCTTACCAGATGGTATGTATGTTTTCGTCTATTTTCGCTAGAGGAAAGAATAGAAATATTGAAATCATTGACGTTTTGTTTGACGATAGGCCCCTGATGCATTGGAATCCACGTTAACGGCTGTTTACCTGGTAACCATTGGACTAGGAAATCTACTAGGTAATATTAATTATGTCGAATTTTTTCGTATGACGACCATACATACAGTATAATGATTTCTTTACTTACAATCGCGATGCAGGATTTGCGGTTGTACCAATTTCCAAGGATCCATATCTCGTGATCATGTATTCATCCCTGGGGATTGTAGCATTTATCGTCGGATGTCTCATGTATTGGTCGTTCGGGCATTTTGACTCCGAAAGCGAGGAAGACGAAAAGTGGAAAAGGGGTGAAGAGATTATAACAGAGTAGAAACTTGGATGATTAAAATTTTGTCTTCACTGTGTATTTATGGAAAAAATGGTCAATTCGATTTGATTACTTGTAAAAAGCATATTGTCTTAATTAATGTAAATTACCATTAATTCTATATATAACAAAAAATTTACAAAAAAACAAGAAAGGTTACGTATTGCGTAAACGAAATTCATTGTTGATTAATGCTGTTACGGTGTCAAACCACGTTCATGAGCAAAGTAAAAAGTTTCTCAAAAATTTACTACTATATTTTAAAATGATCATATTCAGTGTTACAGTACAGTATATGGCAATGAGGAAGACGCGTGAAGTGGTAGCGTATTACGTGTCACTGTGTAGAAGCATAAAGCGTCTAAGCTTAATTGACATGATCACCAGGAAAGTCCAGATTAACAAATGTGAGTCGGTCAAGTTGAATCACGCATCAGGAGTGGACGTAACGTTGACTGACTCATCGGCACGTCGACAATTAGTAATACTTATTAAACTACAGTACGTACTACGGTATTTACGTAGATGTGCGTACGTAATTAGGGATTCATTTGTGAAAACAATGACTATTTGTGAAACAATAATGCGTTAAAAGGGGAAAAAAAAATACAGTACGTGAATCTCAGTAGTCACCACACAACTTTACCCTCTTCAATTCAGTACAGTGCGGTAGCAATGAACCTTCTAGCGAAATTGAAGCTAAGAAAGTTGGATGAATTCAAGCGTGTACTATCGGATGGCCAAATAACCGAAGAACTTAGACTCTCATTTTTAAATGAAACATACACTAAAGAGGAATTGTTCAGATGTATTAGTTATGTTGCTGCCGAAACAATACGTTTTACCAATGCTGAGTTTCAGTCTATCGCCAACATAGCTTTAACCAACCCTGTAATCACCCCTAAACAAAAGGCCAGAATTGAGAAGTGGAAAATCAATAGGCAAAGTGCCGTAAGAAAAAGAAGGGTGGTCGGAAGATATTATGGAGGATACAATCATGACAGCGAAGATGATTATTGGGATTATAATTATTATTAGATTACTTCCGTTCTAAACTAGTTTTGTTATTTTAATCTTTCAATTTAACAAAGAACTAATTATATTGCACGCAAATAATGTTAAAATTTGGTAACACACAAGTCTTAAAAAAAATGGAAATAATAATAGTAGAATAATAATAAATTAAAAACACACATTGAACAACATTAAAGTAGCATTAATCATAACAAAGATTTTATTGCCAAACACTGTGCCTTTAACTTAAGAATTATCAATTCTACTTTTAATCGAAGAGATGCATTTTTTTAAACCAGATACGCGTATACTTTCTTTGACAATATTTTAAAGATTACATGTAGTACGGTAAATGTGGAATAGAAATCGGTTCAAAGAGTGCAAATGTGGTTAACGAGGCTATGGAAAGTGAGCACAGTAATTCATTCATTCTTTGGTTGAGGCAATTGGTTGTGGACTTGAACAAATTTGCAAGTGAAGTGTGTAATATTTATGATACAGTATTACCGAATAATGAAGCGTGTATAGAATAGAAGGTGACAAACTCGGTGAGCTCATTATTTAATGATTAATCGATCCAGGAATCATGCTTTTGCGTAAATACTGTCGGATTCTTTATACTGTAATATTATATTACATTGTACTGTAGCAGGTTAGTCGGCGAGTCAGTTAAAAGCGTAATTCACTTCTCATGCTACACATTCGAAAAAACAAGATAACTATTGCGTCTCCTTTTCAATAATGATGACTACACTCTTTATTTAATTTATGATACCTTTTTTAGAAAACCAAATTTTTTGCTGTAGACGCATAATTTTTGTTTGATTAATATGTACTTTGTGCGTTATCCTTCTAGCCTCTGACTTCACAAAACCCGATTGAAACCAGGAAACCTTTCAATTACATCAAGTAATTACTGCATACCAATATGGTTGTTCTGACTAAAAAAAAAAAACAATGCGTGTTTATATTTGAGTACTTGTTTAAAAGTATTAGTTTAATATAACAATTTTTTTTAAATTCGATAATTAAATAAATTTTAAATATTCTTTTGACACATTTGATTTATGTAACTTTTAAGTTATTTTTTTTAAAAAAAATAAAAATAAAAAAAATTATAAGTCATAAAAAATCATTGTCAATTTTAATCGTTCATATATTGTACTTTTCATGTGTTTATTTTTTTTTTTAAAAAAAACTTATAACATACTGCGTTAAAAAATCTTTATCATAAACATTTGTTTTTAATATTCTTTTCGATAATGTATTTATAAATTTCGTTAAATATTTGTTAACTTTGAAAAAATATAAAATATAAAAATTTCCGTAAGATAATTTATTTCTTTTCATTTGTCATGATTAGTGTTATTTTATTAATTATTATTAATTATTTATTTATTAATATGATAATCATAATAATCGAACGATTAATATTTTTGTTTAAAAAACGAATAAACTTATCTTTTGGAATTTTTTTACACCAAGATTTTTTTTGTATGTTCAAAATTTTTTGAATAATTTGTTTTTTTTTTGTTTTTCTATATGATTGTTAATAAAAACAAAACAAAAAAAACACGGGTTTGATTTAAAAAAAATATATCGTTATAAAAAAAAACAATAATTGCAATATATTTATTTAAATAATAATAATCAATATTTTGATTTTACGAAAACCTTTTTTAAAAAAAATGTCTCCAAGTGACGCGCGTACGGATACTCCCTCTTTTATACGAAAAAAAAACAACAGCATCGTTATGCCCTGCACGACGCACAACAGATTTTTAGTATGCTCTATATTACACGTGGTTAAATATAATCTTTATTTCATAAATGGCAACTGTAGTCTTGTCTTCTGTCTAATTATCTCTTAAATATTTTACAAAAATATTGATAAAATGCTACATATTGATATATAGTAAATCGATAAAACTTGTAATACGACTTACGACGTATCGATTCAGGCACGTGTGTGTTCACGCGTTAAAAGGATTAGAATCATTTAGCGGATGAAAGTAAAACATCAAACTTTCCTTTTTTTTTTAAAAAAAAAAAAAAAAATACGGTGTAAAGTTGATACTCACGCCCCAATAATTTAACCGAGAGAAAGTCAGAATATGCAACGATACATCGATTAAATAATTATCACTTAAACATTAACATAATAATACATAATAATACATTGATTCCAAAAATGAGTAATTGTAAGACTTCATGCTCGCCAACTGGTGTTTGGAACATATAACAAAGCTGATCAGAGAGGCGTCATCATAATAACTTCACTAAAGTAAAACTGATCGTACTTACATTCTAATAATTCAATAATTTGATATTTTTAGTAGGTTGCAGAAAGAGAAATTAGTGGTGTCATATAAGAATAAATCGATCGCATTGAATTTTAGAAATAGAACTTAAAAATTAAATAACGTTAGTAAACCACAAAAGTTAATGGGGTTTATAATGAATAAAAAAAAAAAAAACAAGAACTTTACCCACCATCCGATAATTTACATACAATATATTATTAAGTGACGATAAAATCGATCAAAAGATTCTTGAAGTTAAACTTTCATAGTCCTTTCGTTGTCGCTTTTAAAACCGAAAGTTGAAAAACTTCATATACTCACAGCGATCGATGAATTATCGTTTGAAGATTCAGGTATCGACTCCGAATAAAAAAAAATTATCCTAAAATTTACACTTACATCCTAACAATTTGCGTAAGCCTCAATCAACGAATTATGGTCATAACTACATACAAGCCATCAAGTAACTATAAAATCCAACACATTCAACGTAACTACGCTCGGATCAGAAGTCTTTTGTAGATTTCGAATACTTTATCTCGTTCTTCGATAGCCACGGTATTGTAGGGATTAAGCTCCAATGCCTTGTTGAGATCTGATATCGAGTCATCATAGAATCCCAACGTTTTGTAAAGCAATGCTCGTTCAAGGTAAGCAACGCTACGCTCATGTTTGTCCAATGCATGATGAACTTCTATCTTAAATGCATTGTCAAAATCTTTTAGAGCTTCGAGGGGTCGTCCGAGACGACTATAAATCGCTCCACGCTCACCAAGCGTAAAACTTTCAACGTTTCGAGCATTGATTGACTTATCCAGTTCAACAAGTGCTTCTGAATAGTACCCCAATGCACGGTATATTGCCCCACGGTAACCTTGGGTGAAATAATCATCGCCGCCGAGTTCTATCACCCTATTCAGATCGGCAAGTCCCTCTTTGTAACTGCCAAGTGCATAATAGGTTGATCCCTGTATGCGAAGTATATTTACATTGTTTGGTTCTAATTTCAATGCCTTCTGAAGGCACTCCAATGCCTTTTGGTAACAACCCATGCGGCGGTAGATTTCCCCCTGCCTCTCTAGGATGAATGTGTTCTCTGGTTGCAATTCCAAAGCTTGATGAAATCCAACCAGTGCATCATCGAATCTCAATGAATCTCCATAAGTAATTGCGCGTTGTGTCAGTGTGTTTGGATTGTCTGGATCCAGTTTCAATGCTGAATTAAAATCTTTGATCGATTCATCATAGTTATCCAAGGAACGGTGAACAATTCCTCGAGTTCGAAGTGTCCAAACATCTTCGGGATCAAGCTCAACTGCTTTGTTCAAAAATATGATCGCGTCGTGATTGCGATCAATCACCCAATAGGAATGACC